ACGTTTTGTTTGAGGCGACGACCAGTAGACTATTCGATAGAAGAAAAATGAAAGAGTTAAGGATACTTTCAAAAGTGCAGCTACTAAGGACTGAAATTTTCGAAACTTTAATAGAATAGCCTGTTTTTTACCTTGAGGAGTAGAAATGGGTTATAGCTCACCTGTTAATGTTGTGACAAATCCGTGGTATCGTCTGTGCCATAAAGAACAGTGCATCCCAGTCGGGAGAATCTGCGTTTGAAGATAGCACACAGGCGTAATTGTAGGATCGGCAGTCACCCTAAGTGCAAAAGGAAGAAATGGAAAGGGGAGAACTGTAATCCCAGCATGCTTGAGAGCACATTCTTTGCTGGTCAGTGATCTCTAGTGAAAATACTTCGACACTGCGCGCGTAGTCTGGGTTTCGGGGCTAAAGCGCGATATAAGACTATGACCGAGATAATCAAACGTAATTGGAAATGGAGCTCAATCGGTCCGACGTGACTGCGAGACCGTAACACAAAGTCTCGTTTTTTCCTTGAACGCCGGCTTAAGTCCCGCACGTGCGGCCTAACTACGAACGGTCCATAAAGTGATTTACAATGCCTTGTCTTTATCGGTAACATAAACCCACGCAACTGCTAAAAACACACCAACTGGATAGAAAATGTAACCGAATTATAGAACTGATCATAACTATACCGTCTTGTTCTGCGCTAAACTGGTTTTACTGTAAATCAATACCTATATTTTTACCTATGTGAACAAATGACTGTTGTATTATTTTGGTTAAGTCAGCATTTAGACCTTGTTCAAAAACCGTATTAAAAACGGAGGTAGGTTGATTCGACAAAAGTTGAAATTAATTGCCTTGTAAAGGACAACCGTAATAAAGGCTGGCCTAACAACTATACGCGATCAAAGAACTCATAAACACAACTACTTATTTTGTTTTAAGTAAACCGTTCTTAGTTAAATAGAAATACAGGCTTGTGCTTACTTGTACGCCAACAGTGCGAATCGGCAGCAGATGGGCAACCAGGTTATCGCCGTTAGTAACGTCAGCCAGTCTTTGCTGTTCTTCGGGACTGAGAGCTGCATTTATCTTGTTCAGAAGAGCATGTGGCTGAACGAAGGAAATTAAGTGGGTTAAATACTAAAGGATAGCCGCAATAGCAGCGATTTCAAACGTAAGAGGATAAGTCATCTAAATTACAGTTAGTAATTAAACTGGCTAACTTCATCCATGTACCCACTACGAAAGAAGTCCTCCGTAATGTTTTACTGCTTGCTTTATAAGGAGCACAAAAGGATAGGGTTCCCGTGCTATCAGTCCTTGTATAAGGGAACTTATTATGCAACTGTGTATAATAAAAACACCCATCTAACCGAAAAA